AGTACTAAATACACTATGCACCAGCCATACCAGACTACTTGCTACACCCCACACCTACACAATGCTCTATCTCCCATCTCCGGGCCTTTACATTGGCTGTCCCCCATGCCTCACTTCTTGAGGGCTACTCAAAAAACATGCCCCCTCCAAATATCTCTCCAACTGGTCTATCACCATTCCCTCAGATTTTACAGTTTATAATTCTTATGTTTATAGGCTTGGTCCATGTCAAAATGCATATACTCCTAATAGGGTTACACATTAAGTGCTTGTTAGCAATTAACATTTCAGTGTGTATTAGTTTATGATGTGCCAACTGAGAACAGGTTTTGATGGGTAAAGGGAAGGATAGACAAACATGATGATGCTAGTTGACAGAGGAAGAAGGCACCACCACTGGATTAAGGGGGAGGACTTGGAAAGGGTGTTGAAAGGACACATGTTACTCACTTCTGCTTCTTAGAATACCTGGTTTCCTTCCAGACAGCTCCAATCCCACCTTCCACATAAAGCTGCTCCTGATCCCCACCCCTCCAGCTTCTAGTGTCATTTCTCCCTAAATTATTGTATGTTAATTTTGCACATATTATATATATACATGCTATCCCTACCTATTAGAATATAAATTCCTTAAGGGCAGATAGAGGGGAAGGGCTGTTTCAATTTTTGTCTTTGTATTCCCCAGTGTTTAATAGAGAGTCTGGTATATAATGTTCAGCCCCGTCTGACTCTTCATGACCCCATTTGGGCTTTTCTTGGCAAAGATACTGGAGTGGTGTGCCATTTCCTTCTCCAGTTCATTTTATAGATGAAGAAACTGAGGCAAACAGGGTTAAGTGACTTGCATAGGGTCACACAGCTAGTGTCTGAGGACAGATCTGAACTCAGGTCTTCCTGACTCCAGGCCTGGCACTCTATCCACTGTGCCACCTACTTATCCTGGTACATCGTAGGTGCTTAATAGGTGCTTTGCTGATGGATTGATCACCTGACTTTTAAGCACAGCACATTGCTCAGTGTTCTTTCACTTTGAAAAGCTCTGTGAATTTCAGGAAATTAGACATTTTTAAAAAATAATTTAATTTTTCATTTGACCTTAGAGATCCAGCCCATTTCCTTATTTTAAAGATGAGGAAACTGAGGCTCAGAGGAGTTAAGAAATTTTCCTCAGGTCACATAGCTAGTTAGGTACTAGAACTCTGATCTCCTTTCTCTTAGTCCAGTGTTTTGGTCTGTCTCCACTAAACTACAGATTTTAATCTGTTTTCAGTTTAGGCAAACTTTTTTTAATATGAAATATTTAGTTCAATCATAAATTCCTCAAGGAATTAAATAAGGGCTTTGTCAGAGTTCTAGGGTCAAGAAATAATTCTCAAATCTCTTCTCACTTTTCCCCTTATTAACCTATAATTAACATTATGTACCTTACAGCGTATTACCTTCCTGATTGAGTTTTTATTATATCATTTTGAATAAATGGATTTTTAAAAAAATCACAACAGTAACTGCTCTAGGACATTTTCTGTTCTTAAAATACATGTAGAGGGGGCAGGGCAGAGGGGAGAAGGAAAAAAGAGATCTGTGATTTCATCTCTTTTGGGAGTTCCCAGTATGGAAGCTCTTTCTACCAATACAGATTAGAACTCATCTGTAATTTACAGTCTCAGAAAGGAGCCTGAACAATAAATTAGATTACTTGCCAATGTTTTGTTTTGTTTTTTTGTTTTTGTTTTTGTTTTTTTTGGTGAGACAATTGGGGTTAAGTGACTTGCCCAGGGGTCACACAGCTAGTGAGTGTTACGTGTCTGAGGTCAGATCTGAACTCAGGTCCTCCTGACTCCAGGGTCAGTGCTCTATCTACTGTACCACCTAGCTGTCCGGCCAATGGTTTTTAAAAATATCCATCATTCATGAAAAATATTTTCTACTTAAAAAAAACCGATATGCTAAGTTGCACAACTTAGGCATTGAATTATGATTTTATGATTTGCTCAAAGCTAGGTAGGGAGACATATTCAACTTCAATAATACTTAAGGGAAAACGTCTGCATTTGTACAGGCAGACCTCACTTTACAGCTTAGTTTCTCCATCTCTTATGCAGGCACCATGTTCTAGCCGGTATCATTATTATTTGTGTGGATATCTGATTTCCCTCGCTAGGGACTATGTCTTGTCGATCTCTGCCCCTATCATAGAACCTAGCACAGTGCTTGCATCTCACAAGTAGTTAATAAACATGTGTACCCAGTATCTAAATTTGCCAACGACATACAGAGGAATACCTAAAATGAGTCAGCTTTGGGAAAAATTCTGAAGTAGTCAAAGCTTGTTTTCTGTGTCCTTTCAACACCCTTTCCAAGTCCTCCCCCTTAATCCAGTGGTGGTGCCTTCTTCCTCTGTCAACTAGCATCATCATGTTTGTCTATCCTTCCCTTTACCCATCAAAACCTGTTCTCAGTTGGCACATCATAAACTAATACACACTGAAATGTTAATTGCTAACAAGCACTTAATGTGTAACCCTATTAGGAGTATATGCATTTTGACATGGACCAAGCCTATAAACATAAGAATTATAAACTGTAAAATCTGAGGGAATGGTGATAGACCAGTTGGAGAGATATTTGGAGGGGGCATGTTTTTTGAGTAGCCCTCAAGAAACAAGGTTAAAGACTCATCCAAGACCAGCCAAGAGGCTACTTTTAAAGCAAACCCAATATGTGAAAACTTTTCATTATACAAATAATATTTTTGGGGGGAGTGATTTTTTTTATTTACAAAAGAGTTCACCAAAGGATTCTTTTAAATAATAATTTATCCTATTGTTGCAGTTAAGATATGATCTGGTTGATAAAAACTTTGATTTATACTTTTCTAGAATACCTTCTATTGCCTAAAATGAGTACTCTTCTACAAAGGTTCACCATGTACAGAGCATATACTTTAAATTGTTATTTAAGGAGAGAAATTGGATTTACACTAAATTATTAACACTTTCCCTCAGTCCCTTTGTGAACAGAGACATAGCTCAACTCATATGGCTAGTTGATGGGAGGGGAGGGGGTATGGTTGGTGGCAATGGAATGGAGTAAAGTACATCTGACTCATACAGAAATTAAACCAGCAACCTTGACCTCAACAACAGCATGTTCAAATACCATGAGCGCTCATGTTCCAGATCGGAGGGCTATGTGGTGATTTGGGAAGAGAGAATAGTAATATAAACCACAGATGGAAAATGACTACATTTGCTGCCACAATTTTCCCTCCTGATAATTCCACCCTTAGATGATAGGTGGGTCTGGGGGGAGATGAATTCTGCAAGCCCCTGGATTACAGGCACCTGGACCATATTGTCCAAAACTGATCCACTCCCAATCAGAACACATGGCCTGACAAAGACTATGCCCTTTTGTGAAGTCTATCTAAAAGTACACATTCTATTCTTGAAAATGGGACCGACCCAGAAATCTGGGACATATGGTCATTGTTTTTATGAGGCAGGGTTGTTATACCAGAAGGTGAAATATGCAAGGAGATACAATATGGCACCCGACTATGGGGTTTCAGAAATGGACTGATTAGCCTATGGAGTAGGACAAAACTTTGTTCTTCATTCATCAGCCTTTTAATCTGCTCTCTTAATTGCTGTGGGACTAAATGAGGACAATTTCTTAGCTTTAGGGGGTGTATGAGTTTTATGTTTGCCAGCATGTCTCCACTCTGGGTCCTGCTATCTTGGACAAGTGCACCAATCACTTTGATCTATATATACAGCAAGCCTAGTGCTGAGAATACCACGGGCTTTTGAAAACAGCCTGTTCCCTTCCCGAGTCCTGTTGTTGTTCAATGGAATAGTGTCCGACTCTTCATGACCCTATTTTGGGGTTTTCTGGGCAAAGATACTGGAGTGGTTTGACATTTTCTTCTCCTGTTCATTTTACAGATGAGGAAACTGAGGCAAACAGGGTGAAGGGACTTTCCCAGGGTCACACAGCTAGTAAGTGTTTGAGGCTGGAATTGAACTCATGAAGATGAGTCTTCCTAACTCCAGGCCTGGCATTCAATCCACTGTGCCACCTAGCTGCCCTCCTGATAGTGAAGTAAGGCCATGCTCATGACTGATTAGCCAACTTGCTAACGATGACAGACTTTGAAAACCCATTACTAAGCAAAGGGGCACAGTGAAATAAATTTGCCCGGAGAGTAGGGAAATGGGACTCTCCACAGTATTATCTAAATATTCCAGAAAATTCATACACAGATAAAAAAACCAATGGAGATGGGGTTCTGTATCACTGGTGTCTAGTACAACTCCCTCATTTTATGGATGAGGAAACTGAGGCCCAGAAAGTAGAAATGACTCACCCACAGTTAGTGGCAAAGCCAAGATCAGAACCCATGTGTCCTGGCTCCTAGTTCAATGTTCTTCTGACTATATCACACTATCTCTTTCTCTTTTACCTTGTACATGGCAGAACCATGCCAGGCAACACAGGCAAAAACAAAAGGAGTGTCCTGCTACCACAAAGGGTAATTTTGAGGATCAAGTGAAATCATGTAGAAGTGGGTTTTTAGTGTACGTAGATAAAAAGACACAAACACACATAGTCGTGGGGGACGAGGCATGATGAATCAGTGTGTGGAGGGTCAAGGATATCATCTTACATCATCTCCCAGAGACTATTAGTTAGCAAATCCCTTTCCTTGTTTCTTTGGCATAAGATCATAGACTTAGGGCTGAAAGGAATCTGAAAGGTCAGCTAGTCCAGTTCCTTCATTTTACAGATGAGGAAACAGGCCCACAAAGGTTAAGTGACTTGCTTGAGGTCACACAAGGACTAAGCGCCCAAGGGAGGATTTGAACCCAGATCTTCTGACTCCCGAGTCAATGGTTTATCTCCTGCGCCACGCTTCTTCCTCCACTTAGGTGATCCAGTTCCTCACCACGCTAGCCATTGGCCCCTAAAGTCACTTCCATACAAAGTTAGTCTATTACCTCAATGGTGTATTGCTCAAAGATCCGCAGCTGTAGGAAGATGTCCAGCTTGATTTTGCGCTCGTGGAAAAGCTCTTCCATCTGCACTTGGGCTTCATCGAGCTGCTGCAGAACTGATTCGATGTGGCTGATGGAACTATTATGCGGCGTCTTGTTGCTAGACACCGCTGAGTCCCTGTAGCAGAGCAGGAAGAAAAGAAAGGCAATGTGTAAGATGTTACATGTGCCATCTAATAGAGCCCGAGTCTCTACGATGTGCCTAGCAATGGAGCCGACATACAAAGTCAAAGCTCTGAGGAAGTTTATGTCGTTCAATAAACAAGCATTCTAGAGCTGAAAGGGATCTCAGAAACCCAACATCCTCATTCTACAGACAAGGAAACAGTCTCAGAGGAGGAAAGCAAGATGCTCACAGCGAGTTAGAGGCTGAATGAGGATTAGAACGCCAGACTCCTGGTTCCCAATCCAGTGTTCTTCCTACTCCATCCCGCTGTCACTTTGCCCTTTACCATGTGCATGGAAACACCAAACTGGGTAATAGAGGCAAAAGACGGTTATTGCCTGACTGTTGCACCCAGTGGTTTTTGAAGGTAAAAGTCTTTTGGAAAGCATAAAGTGACATATAAATTTTTATGAATGACTCCCCCCACCAACAACAAAAAAATGCAGTCCTGATCATAAGAAATTTACAGTGTATTTGGGGGAGACAAAATACAAATGAAAATGTATATCAAACAATTGGCGAAGAATGGAAAAGAACATGTCAACAAGGGGAATATGCTAGAATTATAGCTTGAAGTCCTAAGTGCTCAGGAAACAGTAAAGGAGTCATCACACCAGGGTGGGTAGATAATTGGCAAAGGTTTCCTCAAAGGAAAAATATTCAGTTAGGCCCTAAAAATGGAAACTGACATGGACTAGTTGACAAGTAGGAGGGGAGATAAGGTTATTCCAAGGGTGGGATGAGGGTTACCATATTGCTTTTAAAAGGGGCAATAAATAGACTGGCTTGGTTAAAACAGAAGATGTGTGGTAGAGAAGAAGAAGCAATGAAGTTGGGGAATGTAAGCTCCAGGACAGCAAGAGTCATTTTCTTCTGTGTTTGTATCCCTTTTCCTACACCACTCTCCTCCTCACCTCCCCATCTAGCTTAGTTCCTGGCATATAGTAGGTACTTCATAAACGCTTGTTGAATTAAATTGTATTCCCCAGTGCTTAACACAGAGTCCGGTACATGCTGTTTGGTCGTCCTGTCATGTCTGACTTTTCATGACCCCATTAGGTGTTTTCTTGGCAAAGTTACTGGGGTAGTTTGCCATTTCTTTTTCCAGTTCATTTCATAGATGAGGAAACTGAGGCAAAAAGGATTAAATAACTTGCCCAAGGTCACAGTTAGGAAGTGTCTGAGGCTGCATTTGAACTCAGGTCTTAATGATTCCAGGCCCAGCGTTCTATTTACTCTGCTACCATTAAAATAAAATTCAACAAAGAAGAGAAAAAACAAAATGTTAATGGCCCACTGTCAGTTGGGCATGTGCTTGAGTTCCCTGAACTGCTAATGTTTTTATACTGAATTATCTACTCTTTCATCTGGTCCCCTTTCACTATGAACAGCATTGTATGTGAGTCACCTCTTGCTGGGTCTATAAATTCAGCCTGAGGGTGAGAAAAAGAGCTTTTCTCTGGATGTATCTAACTGTTCCGTACAGATATGGAACACTTCATTCTTACTTTACTGTCTCTATCCACTGAGAGAACTATCTTATACAAAACCAACACAAAACTAGACCATGTCTTCTTAATCAGGATATGCTGCCTTATGTGGAAACTATAATATTAATATAACTATAATAATAGCTATGATATGGATATATAATAATTTTAATAAAATAATAGTTATAATATTTATATACCTACAATAATGTAATACCTATATTAACATATAATAATTTATCATAAAAAAGCTATAAAATTTATATAGCTGTAATATAATACCATAATATTGATAAATAATAACTTATAGTAATAAAACAATAGCTATAAAATTTATATAACTATTTAGACCAGGATCAAAATTTAAAAGGGCTAGGTTGGCAAACTCTCCCATCCTCCTTAGCCAAACTATAGCATTTGACACTGCTGACCCACCCTTCTTCAGGGTATTTGCTCCTATCTTGGTTTCTGAGACCCCACACTTTTCTTGGTTTTTCTTTTCCACACCTACCTTCTATTTCTGTCTCCTTCACTGATGTGCATCCTCTTTTGACCCTTTGAGGCTAAAATTTGTCTAGATTCTGTCCTTGGTCTTCTCTAGTATCTATGCAAATTTACTTTTAGATTTGCAAATAACACAGACCTGAGAGGAATAGCTAATACAGTCATGCCAGAGTCTGGGTTCCTTCCTTTCTTTTTTCCTTCCTTCCTTCCTTCCTTACCTCCCTTCCTTTCCTTCTTTCCTTCCTTTCCTTCCTTCCCTCCCTCCCTTCCTTTCTTCCTTCCCTTCCTTCCTTCTTTCCTTTCCTTCCTTCCTTCTTTCCTTCCTTCCTTTCCTTTCTTCTTTCCTTTCCTTCTTTCCTTTTCTTCCTTTCCTTCCTTCCTTTCCTTCTCCTTCTTTCTTTCTTTTTTCCTTCCTTCCTTCCCTTCCTTCCTTCCTTCTTTCCTTCCTTCCTTTCTTCCTTCCTTCCTTCCTTCCTTTCTTTTCTTTTTTGTGGCCAGAATGAAGTACTGAATCTAATTGCATGTACAAGGAGCTGTTGATACAAGGATGAATTCAGCATGGAATCATAGACCTAGACTTGGAAGGCCATCTAGTTCAGCTCCCTCATTATACATTTATTTGTTGTTGTCGTTTAATCATTTAGTCGTATCTGACTCTTCACAGGACCATATGTGGACCATAGCACATCAATACTGTCCACAGGACTTTCTTAGCAAAGATACTGGAGTGGTTTCCTATTTCTTTCTCCAGTAGATTAAAGCAAAGATTGATTGGTAAAGTGACTTGCCCAGGGTCACACAACTAGTAAGTGCCTGAGGCCGGATTTGAACTCAGGTCTTTCTGACTCCAGGACCAGTGCTCTATCCACTGAGACATGTAGTTGCTTCCAATACAATCACTATACATACTTAAAACAAAGGATAGTATACATACATAAAAGGGCAGCTAGGTAGTGTGCTGGATAGAGTATAGGGCCTGGAGTCAGGAAGACTCATCTTCCTGAGTTCAAATCTGACTTCAGACACTTCCTAGCTATGTGACCCTGGGCAAGTCACTTAACCCTGTTTGCCTCAGTTCCTCATCTGTAAAAAAGCTGGGAAAGAAAATGTCAAACCACTCCAGTATCTTTGCCAAGAAAACACACATACATAAAACAAAGGACATATATATATATAAATTGAGAATGAAGAGGTCTTTGCCCAAGGTTGCTTAGGCAGTAAATGTAAGAGGCAAAATTGGAAGCCAACTCCTCTGACTTCAGAGCCAGTCCTCTGCAGTTAAATATAAATTGCTTTGCAAACCTTTCATTTTTATTTAGAGGCGTTTAGGTGGTACAGTGGATAGGCTACTACGGCTGGAGTCAGGAAGATCTGAATTCAAATTCGACCTCAGACACTTAACTGGTTGTGTAACCTTGGACAAATCATTTAACCTCTGTCAATCTCAGTTTTCCCAACTGTAAAATGTGGGTGATAATAGCACCTGCCTCCCTGTGGTATTGTGAGCATCAAATAAGATATTTATAAAACATTTAGTATAGAGCCTAACATGTAGTAGGCCCTTAAAAAAATGCTTGTTTCCTTCTTTCCTTCCCTGATCTTAAGAAGCCTACAATCTAATGGCGGGTTATAAGAGATGTACACCAACATTGAAATGCAATTTGAATATGACTAAGTGAATAAGGCAGCTTAGAGAAGGATGAAAGAACTGAGGAGGGAGGGATGCTTATACCTGGGGGAGGGGGAAGCAATTAATTAAGGCTTTATGAAGCAAATGACACTTGAGATAGGCTGTGAGCTAAGAGGAAGCTGGGGACATGGTGGGGGGGGGGCTTACAGGAACAGTCAGTGCAGATGCAGGTCCCCAAGACTGTTTGGTTAGTGATTCCACCAGAGAACCTGGAGAATCTCTGGGGTTGTTTGGAAGAGAAACCTCTGAAATTACAACTGAAAATCAAGTTCATACTTTTTTAATTTGTTTATTTAATTGGGCAATGAGTACGAAAATAAATCTCTGATTGAGTTTATTCTCTCACACCCGGATGTGAAGGAGTTGGCCTGTGAGATAATGAGATTGCCTATGCTATTTGCCATATAAATTCTGTTATCCTTAGATCATCACTTCAAGGAGAGGAACAATTCATAGGATCATGGATTTAGAGCAAGAAAGGCCTTTGGGGCCAGCTCCCTCATTTACAGATGAGAAAGCTGAGGCCCAGAGAGATGAGCTGACTTGTCCAAGGTCACACAGTTGTCACAGGTAGAATTTGAACCCAGATTCTCTGACTCCAGAGCCAGTGGTCATTCCTGTATAATATGTCACCTCCAATGACCTCCAATATGGTATCATTACCTTTGTCAAATCATATTTATTTAGCACCTAGGCATGTAATGAGATGCCAAGGACTCCACAGCACCTTTTTTTTGAAAATACCAAAGTCTTTTACAGGTATGATAAACTATAAAATAGTAATGTCTACCAAGTGCAATCCCAGGTTTTCTGGCTGGCATTCAATGCTTTCTATAATCTTAGCCCCAGCCCACTTTTCCAGACTTACTTTCCAGCATTTCTCTTTGTGACCCTTATGCCTTAGCCAAAATGGACTGTTATTCCCCAAATACATCTAGAGGCACTCTCAACTTTCTGCCCTTGTTCACACTTTTCCATCCAACTGGAACACGTCCCCACCCCCCAACTCTGCTTGTCAAAATCCTACTCATCCTTCAGTACTCCTTGACGAAACCTTTCCTGACACCCCCAACCAGAAGTGACCCTGACTTCCTTTATTAGAATCCCAATAACATTTTGTTTGTATCTCCTCACTCCCCCATAAGTATAATGTAAGTTTGTTGAGGACAATTCATTTTTGTGAGCTCTCATCCTCTCAATTCTGCAGGCTGGCATTGGATCAAATGCTACATGATGGGACATTTCATACAGGAATGTCTCTGTGATGCCAAACAGCCAGTCTGAGTGATTGCTTCAAAGGATTTTGAGACAACACTGTGTTGAAATGGCCCCAGATTTACCACTTCAGTGGAAATGTTTGCTGCTGAATAATAACACAAGAATTTAAAGGTTCTTTTTCAAAGCACTTCCACACTTGTCTCCTTTTATTCCTCATAGCTATTTTGTGAGATAGGTTGGGTGACAGGGTACTTTTTGTCCCCATTTTACAGATGGAAAAATCAAGGCACGAGAGACTCGGTCAAGATCATATAACCAGTTATTGTCAGTTAAGTCTAGAACTTAGGCCTCTTGATGTCCATTGAAGGATCTCTCCAGTAGCTCAGACGACCTTATGGTTCCCTTCTCCCTCTCCTCCTACAGACCTCACCCCGGAGAAGTGACACTGACCTGAGTTGCTGAATGAGATCTTCTCCTTCCTTGATGACATTGAGTGTGGCATCCAGAGTGGCCGTCTGCTGCTGCTGGAACTGCTTGATTAGCTCCTGGACAGCATCCACCGAGTCGGCGCACACATCTTCCAGCAGCTCCTTCTGCAGGTCTTCCATCCATGTCCACAACTGGCAGGAAAGATAAGAGGGAATTCTGCTTAGGGACAAAGGGGAGCTAGTGTAGGGATGAGGACAAAGAAATCCTACCAGACTCATCCAACCCACCTTCTTCTAGCCAGACCAATATCTGGCCTCCCTCTGTTGACTATCTCCAATTTATCCTGTATTATATCTTTTCTGTATGTAGTTGTTGTCACTTTGTCTCTCCCCATTGGTTTGTGAGCTCCTTGAGAGCAAAACTTGTCTTTTGCTTTCTATTGTACCCTCAGCTCTTAGCAAAGTGCCTGGTACACAGTAGGTGCTTGGTAAAAGCTTGTTGACCGAATGGACTTTGCTTTTCAAAACTCATTTTTCATTTTTCTATTTCTACTATAAATAGATGACTGGAAAAGGCTGCCATGTATTAAAGATAAAAAGAACAGATAGACTGCTCACATTTTCATTGCACTGATATTGTTTTTGTTTAGTTATTTCAGTCATATGCCACTCTTTGTGACCCCATTTGGGGTTTTCTTGGCAAAGCCCTGGAGTGGTTTGCCATTTCCTTTTCCAGTTCATTTTACAGATGCAGAAACTGAGGCAAACAGGGTTAAGTGACTTGCCCAGGGTCACATGCCTAGTAAGTGTCTGAGGCCGAATTTGAACTCAAAAAAGATGAACCAGGCACGAGCTCCACTGTGCTACCTGTGTTCTGATATTGACAAAATACTAAAAAATCTAGAGGGCATCTTGTAATATTCTGGGTAGAAAGTCTGCAGGTTTGCAAAAGGACGTGGACATGGACAAAAATCACATTGGATGCTAAGGCATGGATGAGTTTCAACAGTCACTGGGGAAGGCAATTTCCAGATATTGGTGAGATCACAGATCCTTCAAGAATGGAAGATATCCTATTGACAATATAGCTCTCTGTTCAGTTTACCAATTATGGAAGGGAAAGATCAAGTCTCCTCCAAGAGGATAAAACCCTGGGGTCCCAGCCCAAGGCAATAGGATCATGTAGACATCCTCTCAGAGCCATTGCTAGTAAGAGCTGAGAAATCACGGACAAATGAATAAGTTCCAGAAGCCCAGTGATGGACAGATGCTGTCCCAGTAACACTCCCCATTGAGGTTCCTCTTCTGCAGCCAGGCCATTTCTACTTAGCTCCTCCTTCAGAGGACTCATCCATTCCAGTCCTTGTGATTTAGTGCTCCTCTTGCCCCTTCAAATGCCCTTCAACCAATTTTCAGTCCATCTACGTCATATATTTATTTAACTTTTCCCTACTCAGTCAAACTGAGAACTGTTAAAGACCTTAGCTTGAAAAGGCCTAGGGCCATCTCTAGTCATCCTGATCTATATCTGGCCATTGGACCCAGATGGCTCTGGAGGAGAAAGCGAGGCTGGTGACTTTGCATAGCCCTACCCCCCACTTAAATCCAATTCACTTGCAAGTCATGGCATCACCTCCCTGATGTCATGGTCCTCTTTGAGAACAAAGGACAAACAGCAACATAGATCCCCAATAGATGCTAAGTTCTTCACAAGCAGGGACAGTTTAAAAATACAACTATATCCTTAGCACCTAGTCTTGGTGCCTTGCCCATAGCAGGTGCTTAATAAAAGTTGGTTGGATGGGCTTGCATTCCAGATCTGTCATAAGAGCCGTGTTCTCCAAGAAATCTTCCTTGCTCAGCCTCAGTCCACATCGATCACTTCTTTAATGATAATAATAATAATGTAATAATAATAATATCCTATGCAATGATTTTCTTTCCCTTATCTCCATCTCCCGGCTTCCCTGCCTGCCTTCAAATCCCAGCTAAAATCCCACCTTCTATAAGAAGTCTTTCCTGATCATACATCTAATTCATCCTCCGTTGATTTATTATCTAATTTATTTATTTATTAAATATAACTTGTTTGTACGTAGTTGTTTGCATGTTGTCTCCCCCAGCAGACTGTGAATTCTTTGAGAACGGGACCATTTTTTGGTATCCCCAGCACTTAGCACAATGCGTGGCACATAGTTGTTGTTTTTCAGTCATGTCCAACTCTTCATGACCCTATTTGGGGTTTTCTTGGCAAAGATACTGGAGTGGTTTGTCATTTCCTTCTCCAGCTCATTTTACAGATGAGGAAACTGAGACAAACAGAGTGAAGCGGCTTGCCTAGGGTCACCCAGTTAGTAAGTGTCTGAGGCCAGATTTGAATTCAGGAAGATGAGTCTTCCTAATTCCAGGCCCAGCACTCTATCCATTGTACCACCTAGCTGCCCATCTAGTACATTGTAGGAATTTAATAAATAATTTATTCACTAGCCAACTGAATGTACCCATAGGCAAACCTATGGTTAAAAAACACTTCTATATCACCTCATTTGAACCTGATTGACCACTTGTCAGAGATAGTATGGAAGGGATAATAATAATAACAACAATAATAAATTAATAATAGCTAATATTTACATAGTATCTACTATGCACCAGATACTCTGCTAAGTACTTTACAAATATTACCTCATCAGATCCTCACAGCAACCCCAGGAGGTAGATGCTATTATTATTTCCATTTTACAGTTGAGGAACTTGAGACCAATAAAAGTTAAGTGACTTACCCAGTGTCACACAGCTAGTATGTATCTGAACCTGGATTTGAACTCAGGCCTCTCTGACTTTAGTCTTTATCCACTGTACCACCTAACTGCCCTGAGAGATTCATCATCTGAGTAAGTGTTGAGCTATATAATTTCTTAAGTCCCTTCCAACTCTAAGATTCTATGGTTCACAATAACCTTTTAAGTTAGGTCGTGTAAATATTATCCCCATTTTACAGATAAAAAAATTGAGGATGAAGAAGTTCAAGTGACAGACCAAGGTCACAGGAATACCACTGAACCACGGCCATGAACAACCTCTCTTCACACCCCTCATCATGCCTAGCCATACAGTGCTTTCTATGAGGCAGGTAGCCTACACCACAAAAACCTGATGAATGAATGAGTTTGCTGTTTGGTTTGACATCAGGGTACATCAATTATTTGTAAGGGCAGGGCTCCATCAGGAAGTCAGTCAAGTTAGTCAATGACGCACTGACACCTCATGCCCAGCTCGAGAAAACTGCTTCCCGAATTCAGTGCTCAGCACAAACAGAAAATGGGAGCCTCCAGTAAGGACTGAAGGAGAGATGAAGGAAACTAAGGTGACTTGGCCTGGAAAAGAGGAGATTCAGGTAGAACAACAAGGGTCTTCGTGTCTCTTAAGGGTTCCTAGATGCTTGGTGTCCTTACCGAGGGGAGTGCATATAAAATGAGTTGAAGCTGCATCAGAAAGGACTTAGTGAAGGAAAAAAATTTCCGATGGGAAATTTCCCCACACACACTCTATGATCCAGCAGCCAGGGTCTTCTTGCTGTTCCTCATATAAGACACTCCATCTCCTGATTGTCTTTTCCCTAGCCTGTTGCTCCCTCCCCTCACCACCCACCTCTATGCCTGGAACACTCTCCCTCCTCACCTGGCTTCTCTGGTTTCCTTCAAGTTTCAGCTCACCCATCTGCAGGAGACCTTTCCTGATCCCTTCTCTTTCCCCCAAGTGCCTTCCCAGTAAGCTTCCCTTCCATTTACACTGTATAAATCGTGTGTGTGCACGCACACACACACACACACACACACACACATACACACACTGATATTTGCATATTTTCTCTCCTGTTAGAATGTTAGCTTCTTGAAAATGGGGACTATATTTTTGCTTTCCTTTAAATATTTCCTTTGCTTAGTGCAGTAGTCAGAAAAGGAAGAAGCAAATTGACAATTACATAAAATAGCAACAACAAAATCAGAAAAAAATACTCAATAAAACATCTAAGTTTAAATTAATTTTTAAAAACCAAATCAACCAAATAAAAAGAATTAAACATTTTTAAAAGACTAAAATAAAGAAAAGAAAAAATAACCCAAGACAACTACAACCAAAACAAAATCTTTGAAGAAAGAAAAAAAAACCCAACACATCTGACATGCTCATTAATAGCACATCAAGGGTCAATAAGCTCCTCAGGCAGCTCGGTGGGGAAAGAGCACTTGATGATTGCTTGCTGACTAAGGGACTGGACTCTCTTATGCCCTCAGGTGACCAGGAAGCCAGGTGACATAGAAAGCTTGAGCCTTAGCCTTCTTGGACTGATCAATCTTAGGGACAGCTTCCTTTCCTTCTAGAGAAAACACACACAATGAAACAAAAACTACCCTTGCCTACACGGCAGGGACCCTGGCTGTTACGGCTCCTTCCTCACCAGACTATTTGTTATGAGTCTCTCTGCTGAGGGAGATGCTGGTCCTTGAAAAGCAGTCATTTTGTCGTGGGGGCCTTTCCTTCCAGCCTGTTAGAACTCTGACAGTCAACAGCCTTGGAGAACCCAGGGACATTTCTATATCACAGTGAGACACTGGGTTAGGTCCTGGTGGAGGCTGTTCTACTTCTGTTGCTGTTGAGTTGTTTCAATCATCTCTGAATCTTCGTGATCTCATTTGGGGTTTTCTTGGCAAAGATAGTGGTTTGCCATTTCCTTCTTTAGCTCATTTTATAGATGAGGAAACTGAGGCAAACAGGGCTAAGTGAAGTCACTTAAATGACTTCAGCCCAAGGTCACCCAGCTACTAAGTGTCTGAGGCCAGATTTGAACTCAGGAAGATGAGTCTTCCTGACTCCAGGCCCGGAACTCTATCCACTCTTCCACCTAGCTGCCCAGTGCTCTAGCTTCCCAAGATTTAATTAGAAAATTCCACACCTGGCTCCAAAAAGGAGCTATGAGAAGATACCTTCCCCTACTTTTTTTTTACACAAGTATAGGTTCACAGATGTGGAATATTGCATAGATTGTCCAATTTTTTCATTGTATTGATCAATATTGCTGAATTTTCTTCCTCTTTTTTCTTTTTTTAAAAAAATTCTTTCTTATAATGGGTGGCACTCAAGGAGAGGGAAAGATACAGGGAGAACTTTAGCTGATACAAAAACAAGAA